TGGTTGCCAGTTAATTGTTTTTCTTTTGAAACAAAATGTGCTTGTCAGACTTGTGTCTTTTATTATTATTTAGGTGTCTCAGTCTCTTTGGGTAGCTAAACCTTTTGGGAAAGACACTTAAATTGGAATACATGTCTGTCTTCAACATATTTCAAGGTAATACTGAGGTTTATAGCATACAGTTTACTTGCTACCGAAACCAGTTTTTCTAGTTGATGCAGGCTGGTTTCTTGATCTGCAAGGTCTCTTTTTAATCCATGGGGATCAGATTTGAGGACCACTTTAAGTTTATTTGAGTTTTTTATCTAATCAATCATTGTTCCTAAAAGGTTTATCTTGTTCTTCTAACTTGTGAAAATGTCTATGTTTTTAAAAGTGTTTTTCTGTATTTGTTTGTGATTTTATGGTATTAAATAGCAATCCTATACATGTTTACTTGGAATAAGCCCCACTGAATTAAGTGGCATTTATTTCATTGTAACCATGTATACGACTGCACTGTTAATTGGACATTACTGTGCACCCAAAAATTGATATATTTTGATCTGATTACTCAAATGATTCTATGTGATTTTTAGCCCAAATATGAAAATATTTAATTTATTTTTGACAGGGAAATAAAACATGAGGAGCTTTTGAAGTATTAAGAATCTTCATTAGTGTCTCGGGGATCTGTTGAGACTGGTGTTTTTTTAATTTGTTCATAAATTATCTGCATGTTGATAAATAGTGTATCAGCCAGGTCTATGGATGATACTAAACTGTTCAGGATGCTTGAAACAAAAATTGATTGTGAAGGTCTCCAGAAGGATCTCTTTAATTGAGTGGACGGCCTATGAAAGGGCATTGAGTGGATGGTCAAAATGAAATTTAGGTAAGTGTAAATTGATACACGGAATGTACATCATATACACTGGGATGAGCCTTTTTACAGCTCACTATTAAAAAGATACTAAGCCACAGTGAATAGCTCAATAAAATTATCTACCCAATGAATAAGAGCTGAAAATAAGACCTATTCCATGCTCGGACAATTAGAATCTATTGACTGTCACGTTGAGTGTCAGGATTAAACATATTGCTGGTAGGAACAGGAAGAGACAGTCTACATTTCTTTTCTGCTCCTAGAATGTATGCCAAAAGCCTGATTTCCAGAAGAATAAAGATCTACAGGGGAGAGGAGATCATTTAATTTTGCCGTATGTTGATGGAATTTTACCAACTGTGCTTGGGTTCAACTGAGCATCCGTGAAAGCCAACAGTAATAAATACACAGTGTGAAAAGAACATCTAGGAAGAAATCAATTCCCATATTCAATGTTTTGAAACAGTACCCAGTCAACGATATGGAATATTTGATTGATACTGTCATACTTGTTTCCAGCAAAAAGGATGTTAAAATTATGCTTTCATATCTTTGGCCTTCTCTTCCACAGTTGACCATACTATGACTGTTTGCCATTAAATTTCTTGACTACTATGCAAAACACTATAACCTCTGTTATGGTAGATAGTGTTTTGAACAGATCAGAATAAAACACATTCCTTGTAGATATTTTGAAATTATACTGGGTTTCCCTTGTGGGGAGGGCCTTTATACTTATCAAGACTATTGTTTGCAGTTTTTTTTCTATATGCTAAATCTATGCCTGTGCCCAGTAGACCAGCAGGTTCACTCGCAGCACCGCTGGATAGTTTTGTCCTATTAGATTGCTCTTTGTATCAAAGACTTTTTTTCTCCCCCTAACTGCTTTTCTTAAAGTAATGGCAATAATAGCAATAAAAGCAGAAACAATTTATGGAAGAGATGGAATAGGATTTGAAGATAAAAAAGAGAGAGAGAGAGAGGGGAAAAACACTGTCTCTGACAAAGGCAGCAATTCAGCAAAAATGGCTGGGTGGCAATGAGGGAGCATCAAAAAACCTTCATTTCCTTATTTCTAAACTTTTCAATCCAATCTAGAAGAAAGTGAGAAAATCAACATGATTCGATAAAAATAGAAACGTGACTTCTACTAAAACAATAGAAACCAAGTTGTTTGTTTATTAGATTTATAGGGCTGCCTAATCATCATGTAAACCTGCTTGATTTGGGTAATGTTGTAGCTTCCTTTGTATTGGAAAACATATGAGGTGTAGAATGTGTTTCACCTATGCTGAAACACAATTATCCTGAGTGGAAGGCTAGTCCTAATATTAATCAAAGTAAGATGGCTACTCCAGACAACAGATGCTAGGAGGCAGAGATGGCAAGGCAATGTCAAGCATCATTGCTTATGCCATGTGGTCTACTTTGTATTCTCCAGATGTAGTAGACAATGCTGTCCTAATGCAAGCTCTAAAGTAACGGTCAACTGCTATAATTTTGCTAGCGGAAACTGAATACGGAGGCACAATTTTGCCTTTGTCTTAAGTGATAAAGTGTCTTTGCTGGCGTCTCTTCACATAGGCTTAGGATAGAGAATAGCCGTTGCAAATGGATGCCACGGCCATCAAGGCCTTCATATAACAGAAAAATGCATTTTGATTTCATGTATAGAGATTAGAAAAACTAGTTTCGTTTCCACTGTGATTGATTCGTGGAAGTGCCATAGGTCTATGACTGTGAAATAATTATACTTTTGCTAGTACAAACCAGCTGTCCATAAAGCTTCACGTGGCTTATTGCGTTCAGGTTAAGTTCCAGGATATGTTGATAGTATAATAATTAGGTTGCTTGGGCAACCCCAAACTGGGATTTTCTGAATTTTTAGGTGAGATGTATCAGACACCTGCTGTATGAATGCTCAATAATACTATGGCATATTGAAACCTCTGAGTCTTTGAATTGATTTTGCTAAGTCTTTGTCATAGAAGACATTTGCACATATCCACTGTCCAAATCTTCATTGTCTCAATGAAATGATGAGTGATACTGACTAATGTAATGTGGTTAGGCAGCCATGTAGATAATAAGATCACAGGTATTTTATTTTACATTTAATTAACATTACAGTAATCTAACAATTTCAACAGCTAACTGTTCTTGGGCAGGTACAGCCCAGCTGCCATTGTCATTGCTTTAGTAAATTCCCATTGGAGCTTTACTTCAGTTAAATTTTATATGCTCTTGTGCATGGGCTGCACTTGGTTGTAATATTCTGTCATATTTGGTTTTATGATATTTGTTTAAGATGAAGGGCAGTTAAAAATACTTTAAATAAATCAATATTTCCTCTGGTTTGGTACTCAAAACACAGAGAGAGAGAGAGAGAAAGGAAGAAAGAAAAAGAAAGAAAGAAAGAGAGAGAGAGAGAGAGAGAGAAAGAGATGGAAGAAGAAAAATAGAATAGTAAAAGGACAAATCAGCAGAAATTTAAAATAGAAGATACAGATAATTTAAATCACCAGTAGATACAGACCATTTGCAAAATAATGGTAGTGGCATTCTGCCTCTACCAAACTAAGAGATATACTTAGAATAATAAAAAGACTTATCCTAATCTATGTTGAAAATTTTAAAAAATGGTATGTAACCCAGCTATTGCAAGTGATGTATTGGGGCTTGTACCAGTGTTCCTTAGGAAATAAATCAGAGTTGGCAATCAGCTCTACAACAATCTTCCCATGTTGGTATTTCTATTCTTCTAGATTATTCTGTAATTATATTAATATAATTTTCAGCCTCAAAATTTTTGAGCAATCTATTTCATATTCTAAATGCAAATCTATTTTATATTTGTTGCGAAGGTTGTTGAGAGTGTGGTCGTGCGACAGCTGCCTCAGTACCTGGATGAATCAGCTTATCTAGATCCGTTCCAGTCGGGCTTCAGGCCTGGGTACAGCATGGAAACGGCATTGGTCGCATTGGTTGATGATCTCTGGAGGGCTCGGGACAGGGGTTGCTCCTCTGTCCTGGTCCTGTTAGACCTCTCAGCGGCTTTTGATACCATCAACCATAGTATCATGCTGCATCGGTTGGAAGGGTTGGGGGTGGGAGGCACCGTGTTGCGGTGGTTCTCCTCCTTTCTCTCCGACCGGTCACAGTCTGTGTTGATAGGAGGGCAGAGGTCGACCCCGAGGCTCCTTGTATGTGGGGTGCCACAAGAATCGATCCTCTCACCCCTTCTGTTCAACATTTATGTGAAGCCACTGCGCAAGATCATCCGTGGTTTCGGGGTGAAGTACCACCAGTATGCTGATGACATTCAGCTGTACATCTCCACCCCGGATCACCCCAATGATGCCCTTGAAGTGATGTCCCTGTGCCTGGAGGCTGTGCGGATCTGGATGGGGAGAAACAGACTCAGACTCAGCCCATCCAAGACCGAGTGGCTGTGGTTTCCGACGTCCCAATATAGTCAGTTCGTGCCATCACTGACTATTGGGGGCGAGTCATTGGCCCCCATGGATAGGGCTCTTCTGTCTTTAGAAGAGCATTTGACAGCCTTGGCCGGGAGGACTTTTTATCAGGTCCGCCTGATCTGTCCCCGTCCACACACACACACAAACACAGCCAGCCGAGGGTTAAGGAAGCACTTGGAACACACCCAGCTCTTTATCTCCAACTTGGCAGCGATTTACACACCGTCTGCCAAGTGCGTTTATTTCCACAAAACAGAAAGTTAAGATACTTAGCGTACAAAAAGTCCAAGCAGAATAATATTTCTCTCAGCAGTTCCGGACAAGGCTTTAGTGACTATCCAAGGTTTACTTTTTGTTCGTCACAAGGATCACTGGCCACCACCCTCTATTATATAGTCTCTGGGGTGTGGTCCAGTGACTCAGTTCTAATCCCTAGCACGCCTCCTGAGCTGCTGCAATCATTTATCACGCATATATATATTTCATTATTGTGATTTAAAATTTCAGGAGGATGAGAATGATTGTTGCATCAATTAGTATTTAAGCTATCTTAAAGACACACACATATATACACACTCATTCAGTGTGAGTAGTTTAATAATTGAATATTTTCAAACCCTGATTCTTTAAAGAGTAACTTAAATCCTTAAACCTACCGAATGAAGCATTCTTCATTTTCTCCAACTTCTGTCTGCTCTGGAGGGAAAATATTTTTATCAGCTTGTATGATAAACATAATTAATGATATGCAGGGTTTACAAAAAGTAAAAACGAATGCTGTTTCAGGAGATGGTACAACACATTCCAGTATGAATATCAATTTTCTTTCACATTCCTTAGTGTGTGCTTCTAGTCATGATTAGAAATTGCTACAGCATACTGTAAGTCTCCCCCCTTCTCTTCCACCATCAGGATGGAATATATATGACCTTATTTCTTTTCTAGTCCACTTTGAAAAGGCAATAAATTTATTTTTCAGTCATACAGCTTGCATTTCATCCAGGACTTCAAAGACGTGCATCCTGCAGATATCTGTAAATGACTTCCTGACCTAAATCAGAGTATTTCTTTCCTTTGGTGGAATTTCTACATGAACTATATTGATTCTGTTGCCAATTCCAGAATCTGTATAACCCTTGCCCCCCAAAAGAAGAGGGGGTTAGGTTTGCTCAAGCTGCTTATCTAGCTATTGAAAGGACAGCTCTAGTTTGGTGTTCTGAAGTGTATTCACTGCAACAGCCAAACATTAATGTTTCAACAATGTCATTTTCTGTGTTATTTTATACCTGTGGTGTCAAGCACCTGTTTCAGTGAGTTGAGCGAATTGCATGATATTGTCGGAGGCAAAATGACAGAGGTATTTTAACTGTGGAAATTAAATCTGGTGTTAGACTGTCCAATGCTATTAAATCACATCAGAAGTTCAGAGCTTTAAAGCTTGTTCCCAATAAACCTTTCAAATATTCAGGTATTTTGTGTAAAAATATTTTCTGTAAGAATATTATACAATTCTATAAGTATTTTAATGTCAACAAAATAATAATTATTCCTCAGTGAAAAATCTGGAATAGGCATACTACAGGAATATACATAAGCAGCAGTCAGACTGGATGTTTTTTACTAAGAAATAAAAAATGAGAAAAGATACTAATCTGAAAAAGGACCCTAACCTTCTTTGTGTGTATATGTGTGCTGTCTGGCACATTTTCTTCTAATATTAGTACAGGTTATCTGCTCTGCCTCATGTTTATTTCAATGGTTCTGTTACTGGCTGAAAATGCAGTCTATTCATTTATCACTTAAGTCAAAGAACAATTGTGCCACTCACAGAATGAGTAGCACAATTGTTCATCAAATAGTGATTCCTATAACCAGCCTGGGCTGAAGCAGTAAAAGAGACCCCCTCCCATCCCCAAAACCCTTAGCTTCTAGAACTTCCCCAGATTGAGTGTGTTAATGGCAATAGCACTTAGACTTACATACCTTTTTACAGTGCTTTACAGTCGTCTCTAAGCAGTTTACAGAGTCAGCATATTGCCCCCAACAATTGGGTCCTCATTTTACCAACCTCGGAAGGATGGAAGGATGAGTCACCTTGAGCTGGTGAGATTCGAGCTGTCGAACTACTGGCAGTCGGCAATCATTAGAATTAACCTACAATACTGCATTCTAACCATTGTGCTACCACGGCTCTTAATCTAATTTTATCACAATATTTAGTTTTCAGTTGTCCTGTTCTGACCTAGGCTTCCCAAGAGCATGAAGCAAACTCCTTGTCCCGACAAAAACCCCTTTTTATTAAGTTACTGTGAATTCCTCTCATTCACATCCAGCAAAGTCTTTCAAGCAGGAGTGAAATGCTCCCGGTTCGGACCAGCTCGGGCGAGTAGGTAGCGGAGATTGAGGCTAGTTCGCTGAACTGGAAGCAATGGCTGGCTGGCCACGCCCCCGAACCGGTCCACGGCCTGCAGTCCTGCCATGCTTGCCTGCCTTCCATGCTGCCTTCCTGGCATCCCGGTGGCCAGCTTGCGAAAGCAAGCAAGCTGAAGCCCACGTGGAAGGCAGGCAAGCATAGCTGGGCTGCGGGGAAGGAATCATAGCCCAAGGACAGCTGGAGCGTCTCTCAATTTGCAAAGAATCGTGATTGTTAAAAAGACCAGTAAGCCTAAATATCAACAACAGAGACCGAGGCTTTGTGGGTGGGTATGGGTGTGGGTGGTTGGGTGTTAAGCACAAAGCATTACAAAGCGCTGGGCTAGTCCCAACACCTTCCTTCCCGGGCACAGCAAAGAACCAGGAAGTCTGCGTGCATGTGCCCGAAGGAAGGGGGGAAAAAAAGCCCGCTGCGCAGCAGATAAAAATATCTCAGTGACCAGGATCCTCCCACCCCCACCCCAGGCATGCACATGCTCCCCCTTCCCTTTTTACAACGGTATTCAGGTTACATTATGAAAGCCAAGGCAATTTCAGCAAAGGTTTTCCTGTCTGTGGAAAACTGAATTGGCCAAACTGGCGGGGCTTGGCTGCATTACACACACACACACACACACACACACACACACACACACACACACACAGACTTAAAATGAAAGGAAGCATCCGCTTTGGAGAGTCCGGGTCCAACCTTTGCAAATATTACAGGTGGTTCGCAAAGCGTGAAGGCGGCAATCAATGTGCGGCGCGTCACTGAAGCCCCTTTATCTTCCGGTTAAGACAGCGAGACCCTCTTAGGGTCTGTGGTAGCCATGAAATGCAAACTTTCTAATACCGTCCATGTGTGTGGAAGGTTCAGGCAAGCGGGGAACAATAGCTGGCCGCCCCCTTTTGCGCTCCGACATCCATTCAAAGAATGGCTTTCAAATGTTTGTGTGTGTATGTGTGTGTGTGTGAATTGCTGTAATTAAACTTTGATTTTATTTTTTTCCCCCAATCAGGCTTTACAGCTATGCATCTCTATTGATGTGCGGGAGTGGGGAAAAAAAAAAAGAGAGAGACAGCTGGGCGCGTTTGGTTGCAGGAGGAGGCCTGGGTGGAAGGTGGCTTTTTCTGCAGCATCCCCCTCCCCTCTTTGGATCACCCTGCAAGGGGGAAGCTCTGCCTTTGTAGAAACGGGGTGGGCGGTTTGTACGGAGGATTGGCAGGGGGGGATATGTGGCCCTCCGGGATAAGAGCAGGGCAAGAGAAGGCTCCGAGGTTCACCTCGGCAGTCAAGCCAGAGGGAAACTCAAAGCGGTGGGGGTTTCAGAAAGGCAGAATGTGCTTTTGTGCAGCTCCTGGCTTCTGTGACATTTTGTGAAAGACAGAATGTGCTTCTGTGTCAGAATGTGGAGCTCCTGGCTCTAACAGTGAGTGACGTGAGTGACGTCAAACTGGCCACGCTCACCTAGTCACATGTCCACCAAGCCACGCCCACAGAAGCGGTAGCAAAAGAATTTAGATTTCACCCCTGCTTTCAAGGGAGAATTTATAGTCATAGACCTTATCTGGATTGGAGAGCTGCCAGGCTGATATCTTTAAAACTTGGCAGGAAATCTCTGAGAGTCACCAATTAAGTGAACTAATTGTTACCTGCAAACTCCACTCCCTTTTCTCTCCTCTTTTATTCCCTCTGGGAGGGACCATTCATCGTCCACCTCCCAAGTCGACTCTTGTTCTTTAGCTGTTCCCTTCGTCTAGCAACTCTGTGCATGCTCACACTGGGAACAGGCCTCAGCTGTTTGTCTGCCTCACTGATGTCTGATTCCGAAGGCAGCTGATAACTGACATATGGCCCTGGCCCCCTCTCTGCCTCCGATACAGAGCCCTCATCAGAGCTTTCCTCAGACTCCAGGACTGGCCCATGTTCCTCCCCAACCTCCTCACTGTCTGGATCTGCTGCCAGCTCTGCTGGCAGGCCACAACATCTCTTTGCAACAGTTAGTAAAACTTTGGGGGAAGTGACCTATGATGATCCTATTAGTCTATCCAAGTTCCCTATGTTGCAATTTCTTAGCTAAAATGGGTATGAATAAATATTTTGGAATTGCATTGGAATTCTGCTGCCTACTCTCAATGGTTCTCCCATCAAATCTCTGTTCTTAAGCTAAGGCATAAGCTCTTAGAGAGGAGCTAAGAATTCCACAGCTTTTTATATTGATTGCTTAATTTTTACTAGTCTTTTGTATGGTCTTTCGGGGCATATGTTCACTCTAATAATTGTTTTATTTAACAGAAAAAATGTGCAAGTACATAGACCCATGTTGTCACAGACTGTGGACTCAAAAGGACAAGGCTTTACTTCAGATTTCATTCCTAGGATAAAGTTTCCAAAGTGGTCTTAGCATTGTACTGTATATAACATTCATCATCACATAATTACATTAATATCATAAATTAATGTAAATAGCATAAACTACAGGTGGTCTCCATTTAATGACCTCTCATTCAGTGATCTTTTAAACTTACTGAAGTTCTGAATACACTGTAAATGGAAGTTTGACCAATCTTAAGTTCCTGAGTTCTGGCTACCACAGTGCCAATGTTTCCTCCCAGATTCTAATAGTAGAGTCATTGGAGAAGCCAGCAGGAACTCAAAAGTCTTGGTCACATGAAGTCCTCACTTACAACCTGGCAATCCTCCCTTAACAATGGCAACTGGAACTGCCATCACTAAGGATCATGTTCCTGTGACATCATGCTTTATGATGCATCAATTAGCAATGTCAGTTCTGGTTCCAGTTGCTATTGTCAACCAAGAACTAGCTGTATTAATTGCACAAAGGAAATATATTAAGTCAGTTTGGATTTAACAGAGATTTGGATGTAACAATTCTACCTAATTGTCTATGGAGATTTTCAGTCATCCAGATCATGGTTGTCCCAAAGTTGTTTTCAGGAAACAACTGGACTTTTTTGGGGGTTTTTTGCTTCTCATCCAAGAAACTTCTTCAGCTCTGACAGGATAGATAATCCTTTTATTCTCCACTATCCTGTCAGAGCTGAAGAAGCTTCTTGAATGAGAAGCAAAATGTCTTCAAAAGAAAAACAAAGTCCAGTTGCCTCCTGAAAAAGCACCTTTGGGACATTTCTACCCAACTGCTCTGTAAAATTAAGGTTTTACAGAACTGATATTTTAAAATTTTGAATGAGTTCAAACTAACACTTATCAGAAAAGAGATGGTTAAGTTTTTGTTTGGGTACACAATTAATGAAAACACTATTAGTAACTATTATATCTGAGCAATGTCCTAATACATTTCTGGAATGTACATGTTAATTTTCTCCACAGAATACTACAAATGTTTTGAGCCTGTTATTTGCAGGACTTTGGAGTGCAGTCCATTGCAGTTCTATTGTAACTGGAAAAGAATACAGTTAGATGCATAAGAGAATTATTAACCTAAATTATTTGGAATATTGCAACACACACACACATATATATATACATGCAGATAGATAGATAGATAGATAGATAGATAGATAGATAGATAGATAGATAGATAGATAGAGATAGTAGATATAGATATAGATATAGATATATAGATATAGATATGCCCCATATTTTTTGGAGTATAAAATGCTCCAGAGTATAAGATGTACCTACCTTTTTTGGGGAGGAAAACAAGAAAAAAAATCTGCCTCTGCCTCCCAGCAATTTGCCTCCTTGCAGCAAACAGCAGAGGCCGGTGCGGCAATAGGCAGTGGTAATCCCTGCAGCCTGAAACAGCTGAGGGTCGGGAGGCTGATCCAACTAACAATCAGCTGCTTGTGCTAATCAGGCTGTTTGCTGCAAGGACATAAATTGCTGGGAGGCAGAAGCCAAAGGGTGGGGGCCTGCGGGTGGGCGAGGCTACATTTGGTATATAAGACACACCCAAATTTTCACCCTCATTTTTTGGGGGAAAAGTGCATCTTATACTCCGAAAAATACGGTATATATCAGGGCAGAAAACATTCCTTTGTTTTCATCACTGAGAATTCTGGAAAGGGGTATTTAGTTCTTTCAGCACATTGCCATGAACTTTTCAGCACATTGTGAGTATCCGTCAAAGAGACATCTTTGCTTTGCAGAATGAGTGTTTAGGATTTTCTAATCCTATTTTCCCCTGGGAGCAAATAAAGAAATTAGCATCATATAGTGCACAGCCTTATGGCAAGAGGCAGAATGCTTGCTTATCATTCAGTTTTAAAGCAAGGATTTATTTATTTTAAAAATCTACATCAAGTAAAGTACTTACGGTTTGGGTTTTGATTTGTTTAATTCTTTTTTTTTTTTTTTTACCTGTGTGTGTTACATTAAATTTTATTCCTTGGGAAAAATGAATTAGAACATAAGACAACAGAAATGCAACTTCATTTTGATAAGCCATATTCCCTGCTGATCTGGTTTCAAAGACATTTAGTAATGGTAGCAGAGTGCAGATAATATAATAAGAGCAAACCTTTTGTTTTCTGTTCCCCGTAAATTCTGAAATGCAGCATTGATTTCAGACTACATTTTTGTTTATATCTGCTTTTAAGAGTTACACCGGCATGGGGAAAACAAATGAAATGTGTTGCTGCTTTCTTTGTTCTGGTAGAAATTGATTTTTAAAAAAAAGTGGGGCAGAGAGAAAAACAAAGGTGTGAATGTTAGGTTCATTGAATTGCTTAATGGATATCATAGGAGGAAATGCAATTGCTTTTGCTTCTTGCTAATTGATTCTTCATTGTAATACCAATCTACATATTTCTGATTATTACAAAAGAAGAGAATATATGTAGCTCAGGACTGAACTGTAGAAAACCTGGTGTTCTCTGAGCTTACTTGTTTGCTTGCACATATTTCATTAGCCTATTAGATAATGCCATCATTACTAGTGAGTGTGCAGTGTGCTTGTCCTATCAATATGGCAGGAGTATTTTCTCATTGATGGTTCTTTTATTAAGGTATTATTTTCTGCTTGATTGTTTGTCTGTTGTTAATCCCTGCTTCTCTGGATGTTGGTTTCTGGAGCCACTATGTAGGAAAGACAAGCAGAAGACTAGCATGAACACCAACCAGCAGTTAAAAGATGTTTTGAAAATTCTTTAATCTCATAACACGTGGACAGACTCAACCATAGTTTCAGCTGGGAAATTGTGTGAGCATCCTAGAGCAAACTAAATCCAGAAAGTCTAGAAAATCAATGGAAGCTTGGCATTCAGACATCAAATCAGGCATCAATAGACACACAGTTCTGTCCATAGTGCTAAGAAGTTGATGTAGAAAAAACTCAAACTATGCAAAACATCAATTACAATGTGAAAATGTATAAGATTACATAAAGAATAGCACATCTGTATTTTATATAAACTAAAATAGCAATACTATCCCCAAAAGATTTCTGGGCAAGATCCATGGCAGGAGAAGAAGGTAGAAGGATGAAACAAAAAAAGAGAGATAGAATAATATAACTCTTTAAAAAATATGTAGAAAGAAAAACATCTATTTGGCCTGAGACCATCTTTTGTGCAACAGATTTTGATTTCCTCCCATCCTCAAAATCTGCACACATTAGTAGGAACAACAATGCATCCATTTGCATCAAAGTATGCATTATGATATCAAAATATCAGGGTAGTAATTTAAGAGCTGACTAGCTGCTGCAATGATGCACTGATGTAAGGATGGGAATGAGTCAGCAAGGTTTTTAGCTGTTATCCCTTTAAGAGCCTGTATGATAAGAGGTCCTGTTGGGGCATCTGTCTCTCTCGCCATGTACTTCCCTGCTGTAATTTACTCATTATTTGACTTCTGCCTATAATATGTGTATGCATAGTATATATTCTTTTGTAGATAAAACCACTATTTATTATAAACCTCTGCTTACTGTTATTGCTCCTGGGTTGTCTGCATCAAATCCCAGCACTACCGATTCGCTATCGATAGCACGCAGGCGCGGTCGTTCACTTTGCAAGCATGCAACATTTCTGCGTATGTGCAGATCATTTTTGATGACATCTGGGTGGGTAGGAGGACCCTCCCTCCGCCGCCACTACGGGCGAACCGGGAGCAACCTATCACTGGTTGTCTCATGTAGTAAAGCTGTGCGCACTCTGACAGTCTTCTATTATTTCTTTACTGTGTTTCTCTAGCTTTTAAACTTTTGTTCAACCTTTTACAGTTTATTTTGTATAGCTTTGTAACAGTCTAGGACAGGGGTGTCAAACTTGCATCATCATGGTGGTGTCACATGATGTATCAGGACTTTTTTCCCCTTTGCTAAACCGGGCGGGGGCGGGGCCAGCATGTGATGCATCCAGTCCACCGGCCGTGGGTTTGACACCCATGGTCTAGGATTTTGGAGGCCTGAAATTTATAGTAGTTAGAGGAATGTTTCATATTATTGTATTTTGCCTCTGTCTGGGATTCTAAACATATAGTTGGTGGATAACCAGCAGTAGTTCTTAAACAATCTTGGTTTTAACCAATGTAATAATATTGTTTCATACATTGTCCTAAAACGGCAACCCCCAATCTTTTTGGCTCTAGAGATAGGCAGGTGGTAGAGGGGAAGGGATGGTTTTGTCCACACAACCTAATCCTGCGCATGCGCAAATGAAGCTTCATGCGCTTGTCCATCACTTGCGTGGCCCAGTTCCCAATTAGTTGCAGACCGGTACCAGTACCAGTCAATGACTTTGAAGTTGGGGACCCCTGTCCTAAAGGAGAACATTGGGAATTATATATAGAACTCCTTGTGAACATTTGTGATAATTTTGCATCCAAAAGTTATTAGGTTGCAATATTGCAGTTAGCTTGTCAGCCAGTTTTCAGATAAGCCTGATTCAAAGACTATCTAGCAAACTGCCAAGGGGAAAATCATTTAAAATGTGGCAACTTTTTAGTAAGATAGAAAAATAAGTAATCAGCTATTTACTTTCATTTGAAATTTAATTTATCTTTGTTCTGTCTCTAAACAGCTCATATCTTCTTTCTTCTTTCTCTGTGTTTAAACTTCGATTCTCTTGGTCCCTCATGGAACTTTTCATTTTTGAATGAATTGATAAATTGATAAAAAAATCAATTGTTTGTTTAAAAGGGCAAAAATAAATTTTGCTTGGTTGTTTATTAAATAAACAGGAAGTAGCAAAATATTTATAAATATTAATCTTTTGATAGAATACACATGTACAAATGTTGACAATCCACAATATAGAAATTGATAATCGTTATAATTGTTTAAATATATAACAAACATTATAAGTTTGTTAGAAACTATTGGCTAAGTAAAATCCCTATTATATATGCATTCACATCTTTTATAGTATAAACTACAAAAAATCCTTTCTATTGTTCAGCTGATTTTATTCTTTCTGTATTTGTATTAGACTCAAAATTCACAATCATAACCAATATTTTGCACATAAATGCACACAGAATAACAAAGTGTACATGTACCATGTCCATGAAGCATACAGTCTGTTTTCCTTATGTAAGGCAGCAAAAGAAATAGTGGAAATAATTCTATGAAAGCACATTTAAAAATTTTCATTTTATGTGTTATGTGCCTTCATTAATCCAGATCAATCTGTTGGAAGAAATATCCATCTGGTTCAGTTCCAAGCTGGGAGAAAGGCACTGGAGATAAAATGGAGTCTGGAGGCTGATTGGAAAGATGGTTTAATG